CTACAATTTATAGTTTCTAGTTCTCTCAAATCTTTGTGTACTTGGTTCATATATAGCATTTTTGGTTGCTCCTTGGGTAACTTCTCCACGATTTGTTGTTGAGTTATGATTCCGGCTGGTTCAGATGGTGCCATGCGCTCCACATCAGTTTGCCAAGCTGTACCAGCGTTACTGCTTTAGGTTCTCCGTAGACTGGATACAATTCGAAATTGTATAATTTTCTCCAAATGCCATTTTCGCATACACCACTGTATATATGTTGAAAGAAATTAAAACTTAGTTTTTCTCAATTTTTTTAGTTTTTCTGATGTTTACACATACAACTGAAGGAAAAAATATTTATAAGTTATAAACAAAAACTTTGTTTATACTTTAGAATACATAAAACATACCACTGTTTTTTTACAATCCATTTTTGTAGAAATGAACTACATATTTTGACTTAGAGTTTTTGCACCAAACCTACGACGTGATAGATTTAATTTGTTGTCTAACCTGTGGATGTTCAGATTGCTATGAGGATGAGATTCCGTCCAAGCTTGTGCTGCTAGCTTAACATTAAAGACGTTCCTTTTTCTTTGTTCTATGACCGCCCTTTGCTTGACCTATCGATGAATGCTTCTTTCAAGATTGGCTTGTATATATATTTTTGGTCACGAACTATCTTACTTTGTAATTTAGCGTTTCTTACATATGACTGACTACTAATTAGGATTTTTTATATTTTTCTACAGGGCTAGTTGCCAAAAGTTGTGACTAGTATTTATATAATCCTGTACCAAATTTGAAAAGTTTTAAAAAAATATTTAACCGGCTCCTGGCCTCTAAAAAATTTTTTTTGGTTCCTATTCCAAATTTGGGCCGGTTTAAAAAATAATTAACCGGGTCCTTTTTTTGGCCTTAGGTACAAGACCTATTTAGCCAGAGAATATAGGTTGAATACATAAAAACAATCTCCTACACTTCCTTCAAATTCATGACAATTTCCTAACCGTTCGTTCATTCGCACCACATTCACTCAATTTCCTAACCTTCCCATTGAAAACACTATTGGACTATACAAAAAGGATTGAACAGGAACACACGCTTCACGCTAAGGTGCCCTTCATAGCGACTTTTTTTAACACAAGCAATACAGGCAACGGTTAAAGATAAATGACATAAAAGGAAAGACAATGGGAAATACAACAACTAACGTCCTACCATTTCGGATTCACACAACAACACTGAACAGGTCAGTTTAGATTTTCCGTTTGGTACGTTTGAAAAATTCCCATTAAATTGATCTTATAGTTGAATTTCAACTACCTAAATATAGAATAGAAGCAACGTTCTGCGGCAATATGATTTTTTCTTGGGAGATGGCTTGAAATAAAAATTTTATGGCTTCTTGATTATACCGACATTGAAACATCCAGTGGTTAAGATCGTCATAACTGCCATTACATTCACATATATCAGTTTCGGAAAGTTTTATTTTATATAAGTAAGCATTAACTGTAGAATGTCCAAAAAGAAATCTAACGTACATAGTATAAATTTTCCGAGAGATGGGACTTCTATCACTTGGAGGAGTAGATGGAAGAGTTGGATATATACTGCAGTATGTATTTTTGCTACTGTTAGTAACGGATTGCCACTCAATTTCCCAATTAAGTCTAACATATTTCTTCCTAGCTGAAACTATATCCCATTTGGGCAACTCGTTGTACTCTATACTCACTAAAGTAGCATTTTTAGCCAAATGGTCTACTTTTTCATTGCCTGGAATATTAGAGTGACCTTTAACCCACACAAAGTTAACAATTCTTTTTAGAGAAGTTAAGATTCTTAGCTTTTCAAGCGCATCTACAATAATTAGTCTGTTGGTATATATGTGTTTAGAAAAGTGTCTTAATGCGAGGAGGACGGACTGTGAGTCAGATAAAATTATATATCGTTCGAAATATAATGTGCTATTAATTATCCAATCCAACGCCTTGACAATGGCTACCAATTCAGCTGTGAATATTGAGAAATCTGATTTAAATTTGTACTGAAAAATAATCTTGAATATTGTCTATGTAAATGGCACAGCCAACACCAGCAGGCAATTTTGAACCATCGGTATAAATTTTACAAGAATGGTTAGAGTCTTTTAGCATTGTTCTATACTACTAAATCTTCGTGAACAATTGAATTATATGAAGGAATTACTACAGTGGGTTTATATTCATATAGTAAGTCATAATTGGAGCCAAAGAATGGAATCCCTTCTCCATTAAATGAATATTGGGATAAATTAGGAAAAGCAACAGTTAGAGTTGGAGAGCTTTTATTTGCCCACATTTGTTTGTTAAATTTTCGACAGAGAGACAAGATATTAGTAAAGTACTTTATTATTCTGCAAAAAGAATAATCCATATAATATATGGTAAGTTCGACCGGCCCCTTTATTAAAATTAAATATTCTTTACACTGGTGTGGACGTCGCTTCCTCAAACTGAGAAACAAGTTAAAACTAATTGGAGCACGCCAATTCCACTCAAGCGAGGCAAACTAACTGTATCTCGTATCAATTGATAGTCGATCATCAGAGTGTCACCACTCGAAGTGAGCTTTCATAAAGTTTGGACGTTTGAAAGGGACAGAAAATTTTATGAGGCTCAAAGGCAATCTAATAATTCAACTGCATCCTTAGCAGAGCCTATAGTTGATCTAAGTGGCCTTTGATCTGTTGTTAACTCACCGGCAACAAAAACTATGTCAACAAAGACAAATAGTGATAGGGCGAAAGTTCAGGAGATGATTCAAATAATGCAGAATTGTTTTTATCGTATTCTATCATTAAGAGGAAAAAAAAGATAATTTAGTCGACACAAAAAAAGACTTAAGCTTACTCACACTTCTAAAGCTGCCGATTTGACAGGTGTATCTAATAAAGCCGTTGCAAAAATTAATAATGCCGTTATGCCGATTATGCAATATATTAATGCCGACGAAGAAAAGATCAAACGATGGACTTCGAAAACGCAAGGCAAATCGTGAAAACTGAAGAGCATATATCTTTAATTGAAGAACCATATAGTTTATATTTTGGGCACTAGCTCTTAGCCAGTCTCGTGCCATAGATATTGCCGAAGGAATATTAGACTCTTAAAAAGCCATAGTATAGATTTAAGCAAATGAAGTGTTATAGGATGTGACGGTACAAATGTCAATACGGGCTGGAAAGTTGGAGTCATTCGGATAATAGAAACGCGAACAAATAAACCATCACAGTGGAGTGTATGAGTGTTGCACGCAAATGAACTTCCCATACGACATTTGTTGAAAAAATTAGATGGTCACACAAAAGGTCCCTATTCATATTCTGGGCCTATTGGATCCCTTCTTGACAATTGCGAAAAAATGCCTGTTGTTATGATCTAAATACAGATCAACAGTATTTGTATAAACTACATATCTAAAGCAATTGGAGACTATTTTCTCAAAATTTGGCAGAGAGAAGTCCCGGGAAGATGGCATACTCACGTTGGTTAACGACAGCTAACCGCATTTTTAGAGTTTATGTAGCTACATCTGATCGTTGTGAAAGTTTAAAGATTTTAGCTGACTTTGTAATAAAACTATATTCTCGTATGTGGTTTGAAATAAAAACACAGCTAAGATTGGAATATGGAGCCAGGCATATATAGAAATTAGTGCAGATCTCGAGAGATTTTCCGAATAATGTGTCACTGATTATCAATAAAGTTATTCAAGACAATGCTTATTTTGCGCACCAGGAAAACATTCTAATTTCTATCTTAATACACTCACGTCAACGTATTAGAGAGGTTGCTGTCGAGAAGAATTTTAAAATGTAGGAAAGCTGGCATAAAAAAATCGTATTTTTAAAGTACCTCAAATCAATTTCGTCGCAGAAGATTACATAGATCTCATAGACTGGATGAATAATACTATAACAGAACCTCCTCTAACACAGATTTGGCCAAAAAGGAATTGTGGGATATGGTGACACAAGTTCTAAATTTTGGCCATTTTCCTTGCCATACTCAAGCGGTGTGGAGATGTGTTAAAATAATTACAGATGCGTCAATAAAAGTGTGTGGTGCAGAATCTAGAGATGGATACATCCGAGCTAAACTTGATGCCAGAAAGAATTTGCCGATATTTGAAAGTAAATGTCAATACTATGCTTCAAAAAGTGAGTAAGTAAAGCATAATATTATACATTTAATTTTGAGCAAAGAAGGGTGGATAGGTGGCACTGCACTATTAACAGCACATAAAAATTGAAAATATGAATTTTTTACCCCTCTTTTATATTTTTAGTCCTGGGGGCCGATTAATTTTTTTTAGTTTTAGAGAAACTTTTTTTTATAAGATAATAGCATCGATATTAGCCCGTCCCAAAAATAAAGCAAAAACATTTTTTAAGGTTCCCAGGGGTCGGTCAAAAATAATTTAATTCGGCCCATATTTGGTACATAGTATTAGGACGACCATATACAACTTTTTTTACAAGCTCGTTTAAAGTTTTCCAAAAAAAAAAGTTTGTCCATTTTCGGCCCGGCTTACTATTTATATTATTTAGATCTAAAAACGAAACTGGAGGTCTAATGGTTCTAAAACTTCTAACAAAATCAATCCTCAAAACACCTCAATAATTCTAAATCTTTTCAATTGTAAGCAATAACGCGATAAAACAGTTAAAATAGAAAAAAAATTAAATGTGGAAACTCTACATTTCTCACACTCTTTCTGTAGTGACTACTAAACTAACTACATATGCAAACAGAATTTTTTTAAATTAAAATGAAAAACACGCCTCCCTTTTTTTGACAATCACCAGGTTTTTTTGCAATCTAGATATTTCAATTGGTATACAAAATTCTAACAATCTAATTTATCCGACAAACTTTATTAAGTTCCTCTAAATCCTAATGCTGTCTACGAATCAATTTACAAAAACATGATTTAGAACTGACTAAGTAGTACTAGACATAAATATTCTATTACCTTGGCCGTTCTGGTTCGTCTTCCAGAGCGATGTTGAAGACGTTCATTTCGACATACTGGTCCATACTCCTACCATGGCTTAACCTCTCTCTCCTATTTTCTTTATCGAAATCATTTAAGTTGCCTTGACTTCTAGTGCCGCTGTGTGCCAGAAAGAGATATTCGTAAGCGCTGTTGCTGACTCCGTCCACTGACATCGACATCGGTTGGATATGGGTTGGAGATATTGATATGTTCCGACGAGGGGGCTTTTTGGGAGGAGTTGGCTAAAGAGAAGTATGTTTTTGGCTTAATGAAATTAATATGGTTCAGTAACTTATACTAAAAGGGATCTTAAACACGGGTCAATATAGATTGTTTTACCTAGATCGTTGAACTTTAGACTTATCGCTGGAAAAGATCGAATTATTGATATTTAAAATTTACACTTCCGCAGAACTATAGCTGCCCTAGAAGTCTAAAACATTCACAACACGCTGTCTATTTCGGAAAAACTGACTTTAACACCGATAAACACAGCAACAACAGTTGTTTTAGTTCAAGATGGTCGTAGTCAATATTACAATATTATGTGGCTTAAGTGATATGGTATATTAAGTTCGTTCGTTCACTTTAGCAAGAATCTACGACTGATGCAGATTGGAATATCGCGTTATTTAAGGACGGCTCCAGGTTTTGTTTGAGATTAAAAAAATTCAGGAAGGAAAACGATTTGTTCCACCCAATATTATGGGAGGAATAATCTTGTACTGAGCTGTCTTTTGCAAATGGAAATTCCATGACGGGAGCTAAGTGCATAAAAGCAATTTTAGACTACTATACCGCTCGTCTTTGGAGCAACATTTAATTATCTCTATTCCGATACGTGTACAGGCAGTTACAACGGGCCCAGAAGAAAATATTAGATACTTGTGAATTAAAAATAATGAAAACATTTTTTTTTACATTTTTATATTTATGAATACTAGTTTCTATTACACCGAATTCTCTTACCCTAATTAACCCGACCTAAAACTGACCTCTCCAAATGTTTTTTCTCCTTCGCAAAAAATACGTGTTGAAGTTATAACCTTTTTAAAAATTTTTCTTCAACAGACGACACTACGGGAGTGTCCATGTAGCTTTGAGATCTTTTTTACTGGCTTTGCCACTTTTTAAAAGCCTGACTGTCTGGACTTACATCCAGGTTTAAGGACTATAGAAATTGTATCCTGTAAGCCACGGTGGTCTGCCTCAAGGATTCTGGGGGAGGCAAACATTCGACTAAACTAAACATAGGAACATATAACATCAGATCCATGAATGATGATACTAAACTTCACGAATTAGAAGAACTAAATAATATACAATGGGATGTCATTGGTCTGTCAGAGATAAGAAGAAAAGGTGAACAAAAAATACTATTAAACTCAAAAAACATGCTGTACTATAAAGGCAATGAAAATAACTCTAACAACGGAGTTGGTTTTATAATAAACAAGAAAGTCGTCAGATACATACAATCCACCAAGGGTATATCAGACAGAGTAGCCTACATTATGCTTAAATTAAAAAGAACGTCTTTGAAAATTATACAGGTATACGCGCCAACAAGTTCATATACAGATGAAGATATTGAAAACTTCTACGAAGAACTAACACTCGCTATGGAAGAAAAGAAAACTAAATTGACGCTAATAATTGGAGACTTCAATGCCAAATTAGGGGGAAGAATAGATGGAGAAGAACATAGAATTGGAAAGTATGGATATGGCGAAAGAAATAATAGAGGACACACATTAATGAACTACTTGGAGGAGAGACAACTTTTTGCTATGAACTCGTTTTTTAACAAAAAACCACAAAGAAAATGGACATGGATAAGTCCCAACGGTAATACAAAAAAACGAAATAGATTACATCCTTACAACAGAAAAAACCATCATCAAAGTTGTTACAGTACTGAACCGCTTCTCAACCGGTAGCGATCATAGACTTGTCAGAGCCAAACTCAGGATTAATAGCCAATTCGAAACAAAAAAGAAAATAGAAAATGTGTCGAAACTAGATATGGAAAAACTTAAGCAATCAAAAGACGAATATAAACAAAAAATAAAGGAAGGTATACCGGTCACTAGAGATTTGGAAAACAAAAATATCGATGAAATAAATCAGCTATTAACCGATACATTAGCAAAGGCGGGAAAAGAGGTAGCACAGACAAGAATAAAAAAGGAAAACTATGTATCCCAGGAAACAAAAAATCTTATGAGTAAAAGAAAAACATTACTGGAACAAGATAAGAGAAACACAGTAGATTACAAAGAGGTAAACAAAGCTATCAGAAGGAATATCAAGGATTATAAAAGGAGAGTACAGGAAGAAAAAATAGAAAAAGCAATTGAACAAAATAAAAACATGAAGTGCTTAAAACAACAGCTTGAAACCATACAAATTAATAGTATAAAGAACAAAGAAGGTACAGAGACCAATAATGTAGAAGAAATTATACAGATAACACAAGAATATTATAAAAACCTCTACAATACAAAACAGAAACCAACCCAAGAAATCCTTAAGCAACTACAAATAACAATAAAAAATGTTAATTCCGACTTACAACCAGAGATCAGTAAGAACGAGATAAGAAGAGCACTCAAAGAGATGAAGAACAATAAATCGCCAGGAAAAGACGGGGTGACTGTAAAAATGCTAAAACATGGTGGGAAAACAACTAGAGAAGTTTTGTACATACTTATGAATAAAATTTTAATGACAAAACAAATACCCAACAGTTGGAACGAAGCAATAACACTGTTACTATTTAAGAAAGGAGATAAAAAGGATTTAAAGAATTACAGACCCATAACTTTATTAAATGTGATGTACAAACTATTAACCAAAATATTAACAAATAGAATAACAACTAAATTAGATGGATACCAGGCAAGAGAACAAGCCGGATTTAGAAAGAGCTTCAGTACAAGTGACCACCTTTTAACGATGAAGATTTTAATCGAAAAAACTAACGAATATCATATCCCGCTATACATGGCATTTATTGACTTTGAGCATTTGATAGTGTGGAACACTGGGCAGTACAGAATTCCCTACAAAACAGCAGAATAGACTACCGATATACCGACATAATTACAAATATATACAACAAGGCAACAACAATATTAAGCTAATGAAACAAACGGAGCCTATTAAAATAAACCGAGGAGTAAGACAAGGAGATACCATATCGCCCAAGTTATTTAACCAAGCGCTAGAAGATGTTTTTAAACGACTACACTGGGATGACTTGGGAATTAATATAAACGGGCAAAATCTGAATCATTTACGATATGCTGATGATATTGTATTAATAACAGAAAAAAGTGAAGAATTACAAAGAATGATGGAAGAACTAGATAGAGAATCGACAAAAATTGGACTCAAGATGAATTATAGTAAAACAAAAACCATGACTAATAAACCAGAAGAACTTATGATTACAGTGGCACAAACAAAAATAGAACAAGTAAAAGAGTATATATATCTAGGCCAAATCACTAAATTAAATAAAGAAAATCAGACCGAAGAAATAAAGAGAAGAATAAGATTGGCCTGGGCATCATTCGGAAAACTGTCTTATATTCTAAAGAATTCAAAATACCCCCAATACTTAAAAACGAGAGTCTTCAATCAATGTATACTCCCTGTCCTCACATATGGCTCTCAGACATGGACGTTTACAAAGGAAAATATGGAAAAAATAGCAAAGACAGAAAGATCCATGGAAAGACAAATGCTGAACATTAAACTATCAGACAAAAAAAGAAACGAATGGATCCGTAATAAAACAAAAGTGAAAGATGTCTCAACCCAAGTAGCAAAGCTTAAATGGAAGTTCGCCGGACACACCCTAAGGCAGAAAGATGAAAGATGGACTAAAACAATTATACATTGGAGACCATGGAATCACAAACGTAAAAGGGGAAGGCCACAAATGCGATGGTCAGATGACCTGAAGAAACACGCCGGGTCAAAATGGATGCAAATTGCCCAAGATAGAGAGGCATGGAAGAAGGAGGAGGAGGCCTATATCCAAGGATGGATTTTAAGGGCTGTATAGATAGATAGAAGCCACGGAAGGTAACTCTAAAATGTCCGATTAGACATAAACGCCTCTCTCCGACAAATCTTAGTTAGCACCTATTTTTAATTAATGGGTTTCGATCGGGTTAGAAAGTTTAACAAGTGTTCGAACTGGAAACTTTCTGGAGAGAAAATCATCACTTCTTGGTGGGTTGTTTCGGTTAGAAGACGTGTATATTCTGGCAATTTGTTTGATTTTGTTAAGTGCAGTAATCTTATTACAAGTATTTCTATTAAGAAATATATAGTAATATCATATCAATCTCAAAGCTAAATAAAGATTTATTCTTAAGTAATACTATACATCTTCCGATACTTGTAGGTGTAGAGTCAGTGTTGAATTTTCAAGAGGCAGACCATCAACGACTGTAAGTTATATTAAGCTGTATGTTACCTAGAAAATCTTAAGAATTGCTGGTTCTATGAAAATTCAAGATCATCTCTTTGTCCATCTAAGGTTTTGAACTGATGTCTTTATTTCTTCTACAAACAACAACCCCTCAGATAGTGTTTATAGTAGATATTTATAGAGTGTGTTGGCAACATTTACTCAACAAGTGTTAACTTCCATATCTTTTACATTTTTGTTTTTAAGAACGTGATTTATCGTTCCTATCTAAGGTTTGTTAACTTTCCCCTTTTATTTACAAGACGTTAAGTGACGCCATTATCCTATCTTTTTCTTCTTATCGTGGTGGTAATTTATTCTGTTGAACCAAATACCAATTTCAAAAGCTTGTTTCGAATCTACGAGTCGCTCTCCACCAACCATCTAATAACCGTTCGCTTTGTATCAATTGGTGACCTTTCTAGCTACATCAAAATAAATTTTAAACATTGATATACGGTGAATCTCGAACTTTATTAACAGTACTCGTTAACCATTGGGCACGAACCCGACCTTGACTGGTAAATATTGCTTACGTCCATTTTGGTAAAAGTAAATGCTTTATTAGTATGGACGACAGAGGAAATATTAAAGCTCAAGAACCAAAGGAGTCAAAAATAATTAAGTAGGACATAAGATATACAAAAAAACTTCAGTGAGTCAGACAAGATTGTCTACTTTCAGCTGTACTCTTCGCCTCCAATAAAAATATTCAAGGAAACCTTAATGGAGACAACAAAAGACACTGTACAGAAGGATGTAACCGTGAATACTATAACGATACCTTAGTACTGACTAATTGTAGTGGTGACCTTTAAAATCTAATGAACAAAATGAGCCAGATCTGTGAACAGTACGGATTGAAATTCAACGTTGAGAAAACTACATATATGATGGTTAGCAAACAAAACATATAGGATGATGATATTGGAGACTTAGAGACGAGTTGCAGTATAGAAGAGAAAACTATCTCAATGGAGCAGGATCCACCGTAGAAATTAAAAGCCGCGTAGAACGGAACGCATTGTTATAGCCTTCCGGTACTAATATATGGAGAAGCGTCGACGCTAGGACATGCTTAAACGTTTGGAAGCATTTAAGATGTAAATACACAGAAGACTACGAAAATAAGCTGGGCCGACTGAGTTAGAAATGAGGAGACTCTTAAAAGGTTAAACCAAACAACACAATTGGTAAATCTGCGCAAACAAAAGACACAATCTTAAATACTTCGGTTACAATAGAACTTTTATAATTATTATAAACTACGGAATGATCCAAGGTAAACGTGACCCTCGTAGAAGAAGAACAAGGCTTAAAAACTTGAGCAACGGTACGGGGAACGGAGTACATAATTATTTACAGCTCTCTCAATCAAGCCATGAAAGCGAATGTAGAATGAACAGACGAATAGAACTATAAGGAGAACACAATCTTACAGCTACAATTGGATTTTGATCAATTCGACTTCTTAGGTCTTTTATTGTAAATTAAATCTACACTTATAACAAATTATAATGTAAAGCTCAACAATGTTGAAGATCCCTTTTAAATTATTTTGTATGGTTAATGTCGATCTACTTACAGACACTTTGTTATTAGACCCTGGACTATGTCCTCCTTTTGGATTATTCATAGGAATGTAAAGCGGTATACCGCCGCTGTCAGGCCTCTTCGGATAGTACCCGCAACTACTAGCCGTACTAGAGACGCTGATCTGATCGGACTCCCTGCTGGCACTCAAGTAGTTGAAGTCCTCGGAATGCTGGATCGAGTCCATGAACTGTTTCGGTACGCACGGTATCTGGTACAAACTATTATCCGACTCCCTAGAAGAATCAGAGTTACTTTGACATCCGCAAGATGTCGCTGACTGGTAAGAAAGAGTGGATGCGATGCTCGTCTTGCGGAGATCGAGCTGGTCTTTAAAATTAAAAGTAATGCCATCCAGCGGACAAACATCTAAGATGGTTCTGGGTTTCGTGCGCTTCATGATTGGCAGGCTCTGGTAAGGTTTGGTATTACGCCTAAAAACATGCTTGTGCAGAAAAGAAACATTCCAAAAATGGTTTAATCTTTATTGGAAAATCGTTTAAGTTACGATTAAAGCATTGAAATAAGTTTGAAAGGAAATTATACATAAATAGATTATAAAACTGTAATATTTTTTTTATAGTTAATATATTAAATTATTTGTAATACCTTTACACCTGTGGCTGAGACGCTCATGGCCGGTTTACCATCGGCAAAATTTTATTGAACCTATCGACTTCTCAGAGAACGAAAGGTTATAATCATTTCCTTTTTAATCCTGAGTATAATGAATTACATGCTATGATTTTTTTCTGACAGATATTCTTAAGTTAAAGTTGATTTCATGTAATCGAATAAACTATCTTATAAGTAAAGTCGTCCCAGGAGCACAACTCAACAATATTGGCAATATCATTTTAAAGTCGTCTACTTTAAAATGCATAATATATGTCTGAATTGTCAATATAAAAATAAATAGAGTATTAGTGTTTTTCCTATTATATATAAGGCCAGAAACTTTCTTGAACTTTCTTGTGCTGCAAATTGAACATGTCATGCTTGTTTTGTAATTCTTCCTTTTCTTTAGCCGCTCATTTTTCTTGTTTTATTTCAAAAAGGTCTATTTTATTTTTTTTTATTTAACTACTTACCAAATACAAATATTGTTTGTAGCAAGTCAAAAAAAAATACATAGTATATAAAAACGTAACTTAAATATATCACTAACAAGAACACATATTAGACAGAAAAAGATTTATGGCAAAGTCGCGGTAAGTAGTTCAGTGGATGTTCTGCAATATATTCTTCGGAGCAGTAAAATCAATGTCTAAGAAGATATTTTTTTATAACTTTTTCGAAACTATTACAGCTTAGCTGTTTAAATACTTTTTGGTAAAATATTGTAATAGTCATAATAATTCAGGTAATTTTTAGGTGAAAGACGTAATTTACAGCGATTTGTTTGTACGTAGTGACAGTTTCGCGTATTGTGAACGGGATCATCAGACTGCTTTATTAAATGGGCCCGCTTTCTGTGAATTTCAGTCAGAACTTGAAAATATTAACAGAGTAGGTAGTGGCATAATTTTGTATTTGATAAAGAAAGGTCGGCAAAATCCTGAGAGCTTTCTTTTGAGTTTTAAAGATTTGAAGTGAATTTGTTGAATTGTCCCATATGATTAATCCATAGTTTAGGAGAGAGTGGCATAAAGAAAAATAATGTCATTTTCAATGTTTTAAAGTTGACAAGCCTTGCTAGTTGGCGAATAACAAATAATGTTTTTGATAGCTTTTTCTTTAGCTGACAGATATGAGCCGACCAGTTCAGTCGATTATCAATGGTTATTCCTAATATTTTAACAGTCTCTTTGTTATCTGGATCGTTATGTACATTACTTGCAGATATCACCAAATTTTGGGTTTTAGCAGAGTTAAGTTTTAGTTTGTTTGCAGCAAATCATGTGCTAGATTTAGTAGAAACTTGAAGAGTGCAGCTTTCGTATGCAGTTTTTGTATTTTGGCAAGAGTCACTTTCCATAAAGCTGTTTAATAAATAAACTTTGCGCGATTTTTGACATTTTTTACGATTTGTAAAAATCGTATATATATGATCTCGTGAGATCAATAAAATGTATTACTGCATTGATATTGCCGTAGTGGTCGTAGTGAAATTTCCATTGTTAAAGAAAAGTGTTCAAAACCAATAACATGAAAATTCGCTTTTGATTGTTGTCAACAAATATGAGCCATTTTAAATATGCCTAAAAACACAGAATTTAATCTGTTTGGGTGAAATTTCTAGCAAAAATTGAGTACTTTTGAAAAACGTACTAGTGTAACTAAAAAATAGCAGTTTTAAACGTTTTAGATCGTTTGAAATGGGGAAGTTAAAGTTCTGTGTTTTTTAAGCATATTTCAAATGCTTCACATTTGTTGCCAAAACTCAGAACTAAAATTTCATGCTACAGGTGTTGAAGATTAGGTTCTAGTTATGGAAACTCCATAGTGGCCACACAATGCAAGGTATACATTGTATTGATCTCATGAGAAAACATAAAAATGGCAAAAATCACGTCACGTTTATATATTTAACACCTTTACAAAAATTGAGGTCATTTGCGGCAAAATATAAAAATTTCATACGAAAGCTGCACTCTTTAGAGCCCTTTCACACTGCAACATCCCGTTTTTTGTAGGACAATATTTTGCAGAGTCCTGTTGAGTAGTATACGTACTTGATACTTGCAATCACACGAGCATCCTGTTTACGGTATCCAGCAAAAAACCGATCCGTTTAAATTTGACATTCGGTTTTGCCACTGGAATGGGTCCAGTAAAAAAGGATCCAGTTTAATTATACGTATAGTGTAATGGAAGTGTTCTCACCACTTCCTGCATACCGTTTTTTACTGGACGCGGTGCGAGGAGCGGAGAGAGATTCCCCCGCCTCGTACACAGCTGCCTGTTGACCGTGCCCACTCCTTCGCTCAGTGATCAGTGCTTACCAGTCAACGCAAGGCCAGTTTTGTGATTGTGCTGAGAGATGACGCAAACCAAAATAGACCCAGAAGTACTTATTCCTCTTATAGAAAATAGACCTATAATATGGGATAAAACTTTAGAGAACTATAAGAATAAAAATTTGCGAACTGCCGCATGGCGCGAAGTTTGTATTATTTTGAATGAAGAATTTGAGGGGATGAAAGAGCAAGAAAGAAAAAATTATGGTAAGTCTTAAATTTAAATCTTTATTGAAATAGTATTAATTTAGCTCTGTATTGCTTCATCTTGCCACGGTACAGCTCCCACTTCAGACATAAAATAATTAGTGAACTCTCTTCATATTGTATTTGCACAATGTCCACCTCGCGTACTAGATCGCTCCGTATATTTAACCAAGATTCAATCATGAATCAATTCGTTGCTTTCCATGTTAGCATATGAACTTTCATTATTTATTATAAACATAGTTATGGAGTACAGTGGAAGTTTTTACTATCGAAATAGTAGTAATAATGCTTACGTCCAATGGGCGATGAGATATTCGCCATTTGTTTGCCAATATTCCGAACGTACATTCTACGTAGCGTCTGGCTCTAGTTAATCGATAATTAAATATTCTTTTATTTTTATCTAGATGAGTTCCTCCGTAGGGTCTCACCAAATTATAATGTAAACCGAATCCTTCATCCCCTATTATCACAAAAGGTACTCTTGATTCCAAACCTTCAGAAAGAGGACGAGCATCCGGCAAATCTAAACTGCCATCAGTTAGCTTTTTCCAGAAAGTCGATTCTTTGAATATAGAGGAATCACATTCTTTGCCATATGAGCCTACGCTAATATAGATGAATCTATAATTCGAATCCACTACTGCTAGTAATACAATGAAAAAAATCCTTGTAATTATAGTACATAGAACCACTGCTATTTGGTTTCTTTGATTATGTGTTTCCCGTCTACTGCACCAATACAGTGAGGGAAATTTGCTTTAGTAAAGAATCCGTCAGCAATTTCTTCCCATTCAAATTTTGTGTTTGGCAGTTTCATATACTCTTCACACAAGTTGTTCCATATGACATTTGTTACGTCTATAATAATATTACTGATTGTTGAAACTCCCACTCGATACGTATAATGTAAATCCATAAATGAACACCCAGATGCCAAGTACCTGCAAATATTTTTGAATGTATCATTGTTTTCTTTTTTCAGCAAAACATGTCGTTAAGAAATGGAATCAGATTAGAGACAGCTGGTCAAGAAGTTTAACTGCAACTAAGAAGACCAAGCAATCTGGATCTGCTTCAGTGAATGTAAAAAAATACTGTTATCACAGCCAGTTGTTGTTTAAAAAAAATTATGTAACCAGGAGAAACATACGACAGTGTAAATAATGAAGAAAAAAATCAGGATAATACAGATGTTGAGAAAGTTGAGCTGGAAATTTCTATTAACCAAAATGAAGAAATTGAAGATGAACCATCTGTTGTAAATGAAAGTTCTAGACAGGAAAATCCTACAAATAGTGCTAAACGATTTAAGAACAGTGATGTACCAAGACAAAAGTTTAATGTAGTGGATCAAAAATGTAGGTCATTTATCGATCACCAGATGAAAATACAAAACAATTCGCAAAATAAAGATCGTAACTTGTCTTTTTTAAAAGCTTACTTCCAACAGTTGCCTTACTTAACGATGATCAAATAATAGAATTTCAAGCAGGTGTTATAAGTTTGCTGCAAAACATCAAAAGCCACAATAGAAGTCAACCATCATTCACTTCCAACTACTCGTATCAATCACAACAAGGTTATTTAACATCAGAGTACGTTCATCCATCGCCAAGCCCGTCAACTCAAAGTTCATCAAAATTTGACCACTTTCAACACTCACCAGCTGAATCGACTCGCTCTGATTTTCCAGACTTTACTTTGTTGTAATTACACGCATACACGCCATCATAAACACATACATACATACACATAATACACATACCCACATACAAATACACACATACACACACAAACACACTCTGTAACTTTACTTAATAAATAATAATAATGATAGATGTATTTTATTCTCACCTTAAACTTATTGCAAGCTTTTCTTCATGAGTGAGGCTTTTTCTCATATTTGTATTCTGTTTTTTTTAATAAAAAAGAGGTTAGTCTTTGTAAATGGGTATATTTATTTAAAAAACCCTTAAAAGGGCTACATCAATAAAACAAACGTTTTCGGACCACACAGTCCATCATCAGGTTTTAAAATCGAAAAATGCTAGGTCACAATGCCTGAGCCACCAAAATACTAGGGTAAAAACCCTTTAAATTACATTTAGTTATAAAAGATTATACATTGTGTTGTAAAATAACTGTGATGTTCAGTATTAAATTAAATTTGGCTAGAGGTAACACATGGCTGAAGCGAGTTCCAGAGCCGGTGAGAGAGAACCTCTACACGCGGAGAACAGCTGGGAACTGTTCCCAGCTGTTCTCCCAGCTGTTCTCCGCGTGTAGAGGTTCTCTCTCACCGGCTCTGGAACTCGCTTCAGCCATGTGTTACCTCTAGCCAAATTTAATTTAATACTGAACATCACAGTTATTTTACAACACAATGTACAATCTTTTATAACTAAATGTAATTTAAAGGGTTTTTACCCTAGTATTTTGGTGGCTCAGGCATTGTGACCTAGCATTTTTCGATTTTAAAACCTGATGATGGACTGTGTGGTCCGAAAACGTTTGTTTTATTGATGTAGCCCTTTTAAGGGTTTTTTAAATAAATATACCCATTTACAAAGACTAACCTCTTTTTTGTGATACGTGGTATACAGCCAGCTACAGGAATTTTTTTTCCTTGTGGATTTTGATTTTTTAAATGTTTCTCCACTTTTTTAAAAGGTTGACAAACGTGGTCATAGACATCCCAAAGTAATTAAAAATCTTTGATTCATCCTTTCTCAAATCGCCCATGAGATTACGAAAAATAACCAATTTCGGTCGTTGTTTCAGAATGGGGGGTGGACCCAATCAAAATCTTCTTTTTTTACACTGGCGGCGGCGGCGGTAATAATACAATATCGCAAGCGTGTTCACGTCAATCATCTCTGAATTTTTGTTTTAATCTGGCAAATATAATATACCGTCCATTGCTCTACCGCAAAAAACGGGATGCAAACTACTGTGTGTGAACACACTAGTGGTTTTTTACGGGATTCAGTAAAAAAGCCATCTTGCAGAACTGGACGTCCGTGTGAAAGGTCTCTTACCTCTTTAAGTGAGAGCGCCCACCAAACTGGCGTGGCAAGTGGCAAGTAGCGCGCATCTAGCATGTTACTTATAATGTAACCAATGAAAACGAATAATTCAGCGCACATCAAAATGACAGTGACGTCATTCATTCTAATCATTCCTTTACATTGGTTACATTTTAAATAACATGCTAGACGTTTGCTACTTGCTACTTGCCATGCCAGTTTGGTGGGCGCTCTCATTTAAACGCATATTGATTTTTGTCAATAGGACCCTCGGATCAAAAGATATTGAATTTTTACTGCGAGCTGATACAAATTTTATTGAGCATTGTTTAGCGCGCAGAACTGACATTCAAACTCGCCGATCGTTTCCGAGAGAACGGTTCATTCTACACAAAAAATGCTAATAAATGTTTTTGTTCAAAATTATCTTATCTACATTTTTATCTGAAACTATTTTTTCTACGGCGTACAGATTCTTTACGTTTTCTACCCTATACGTGAGGAATTGTAGGGGTAAGCCCGGAGGTAAAAGTAAATTTTTTTGCATCTTTTTGAGCGTCCTAAAATTGACATTTTCGGCAAAATTCAGCTTGTTCGTACGATTTTTAGAGGTTCAGTGGCATTTTCGTCTCTGATGACTGTAGTATAATGTTTTATTTTTGCTTTTGCTCATATTAATAGTTAATTGCCTTTATCTCGTGTAGAATTTTTGTTGTTCGAGTAATATGTAAAAGAGCACTTTATAGAAGGCGCTATGGGTATCAATATTTAACGGCCATGAACGTCATTATCTTTATCTAGTATATATCTTTTCGTAAAGATCAAACCATTATCATTTAAAAAGCAACATAATTAAACTAAAATATAAGCATAAAAAATTGCAACAAAAGCTGAAATCTAATGGCAATGAAAAATAGTTTCCTATAGCAGGAAGTTTCTAAAACCCATGGTTTTCTATATACATAATTTATAGATTCTTTTGGGTCTTCCCATAAGTATGAAATTTCACAAATAATTTTTTTATATTACGTCTCTCTTGTACGCACAGAAGTAAAAAGAATGAAGTTAATCTGCTGGCCTCCGCACTATAGAATACATCAAAAAGACAGTAATAAGACAATGGATGGCGATTGATTCAGCCACTACTAATTTCCAATTTTGTAACACCTCCTGGGACAGTCGACAGGTGAACTGAGTAGCTCATCTGCTGCCATTGCCGGTCCAATCCCGAATATAGAAGAAGGATAGTAAGGTTAGGTTAGCAGTCAGCCATACATAAAAGATTAATGCAAAAACCAGTGAACCGTATCGAATAATAATGGAAAACATGGTAACAACAAAGCGCGGGAAAAATAACGACGAACTGGAAAACGAAAAATATAAGGACAGTGGCTACTTGGAATGTAAGAAGCCTTAATAACAGAGATCAAGAAATAGAAATGAGGTTAAAAGAACATAAAATAGACATCTGAGCTCTGCGGGAAATAAGAGGTAAGGTAAAGGACAAAGGATGATGGGAGAATATTTACTAATATATTGTCGATGTCAAAAACCAAGAAAGAACAAACGATGGTGTAGCAATAATGATCAAAATAAAATATAATGATCAAATAAATTAATACTTTTGGTAAAGTTAAAGACGAACGGCAAAATTGTAAACGTAATGAGCTCTTAAAGTATGAAAGTGATTACCTCAACATCTCATACAAAAAATTAATAACCATTAACAGAATACCAGACGAATGAAGGATAGCGATCATGCTGATGTTGTCAAGAAAGAAGATAAAAAAGATCCTAATAATTATCCAACAATAAATCTTTTAAATACACTTAAATTAACAACAAGAATAATAGCAACAAAAATAAATGAACGAATAACAGCAATAGTTTCGGACCGGAAGATCGTGCACGAATGCAGTTTTCATAATGAGGCCGATAAAAGAAAAGTCGCTGGAATACAACAAACACCATATATTTGCCTGATATACATCAGATGCGTTATATGTCATTGTACATTATTCCCAACTATTTATACACTTTTTGAGTATTGCCCTTTTTATAAAAGTTAAATGATATTTTTGATGATTTATCTAACTACAAAATGACAAAAGCGTTAACTATTAACTAATAAAATAAATCTATATAGCTTACACTCTTAAATTTGTCATCGGTACGTAAGTGTCTTCATTTTCATTTACATCTCGTGATGGTGCATTTCGGTGATTCATGCTGTGGAAAAACCATGCAAAACCAAAAATAAACAAGTGTGTAATTGTGAATAATGTATATACAGGTGTTTATATTAAAGAAATATACAAATAAACTGGCATTGTCTACTAGATTTTCATTTAAACGTAGATATATCGACAAAAAAAACCAATCAAAACTGAATTAACTTCTTAGTTCGAAGGGTAAAACAATTCTAACGTTATTATCTTAATAATAAAAATTTGTTTAAAATTACTCCGTATGTTCTACCCTTAACTTTTCAATACCGAAAACTTCTTACAAATACGAGGCGATTCAATAAAACGGTGCGATTTCAAACAAATAAAAAAAACTGAAAAAATATATTTTCTGCAAATCGCCAGGAAATTTTGACATTCCTGTCAAAATTTCTTGAAGAAAAAGTCAGGACTTCCTTACTGTAAGGAAATGATATTTCCGTACAGTTGTTAGTGTTCTACATAAATGATAGAAGTTTTGAGTATGTAGATATATCTACATTGTGTTTAAGTGCAAGGGTTGACTTCAGCATTGAATAATTGGCCCTTAATGTTGAAGATTTCATCTTTAAACAAAGGTCTAGGAAGTATGCCATTACAACATTTTCTGAGAAAGAACTCGTATTTTTACTCATGCGATAATCCATAAAACGTCTGTATGCATTTTCGTACTTTTCTCTTGATTTCTTTGGCAATAATTCTAATGAAGCAGTATTCACTGCCTCAACCAGCTCTGGAGGAGTCCCAGGAATGGAAATTTCATCATCACTTATCATTTTACTTTCGAGAACACCAGCAATTAAATTTATAAGCGTCAAGTTTGACAATTCAACCTCAATACGTTTCCATAGTAACCCAAGTAATTTTATTAGGAATTTCAAAGCACCATTTATTTGGGAATAAAATTATCGAGTTTTTTTTTAAATCAATCAATATCTGTCGAATTTTAAACGATTTGCGGAAAAATAGTATGTTTACCTCGTAGGAAAAGCCACATTCCTGGACTCTGTGTTGCTAAGTCTCGGCTTGCGCCTCGACTTAGCAATCTTCACAGTCGTCCAGGAATGTTAAGCTTTTCCTACCCGGTAAACAATGTACTATTTTTATTAAATTTAATATGTTACAGATAGAAATTAATGTGTCAGTGAAGAAATATTCAGTTTTTGAAGATGATATTGAAAAGGTGACCTCCATTTTGTCGGACACATTATTGCAGCAGTGATTAAAAGCGGTTTAGGACATTGAGGAACATTTCTTGAGGTTTTGCTTCTACGTCTTCGCGCATCCGTTCTTTCAAAGCCTCGATAGTTCTTGGGTTACTTTGAAACACTTTCGACTTAAAATACCCCCAAAGAAAGTTGTCACATCGGGAGAGGTTCGGACTACTAGGTTGAAAGGGATTCTTCTTTTTCTTCTTAGGGTGCCTGTCCATTCCGAACGTTGGCGATCATTCTGGCTATGATGATTTTGTTGGTTGCTATACGAAATAGCTGTGTTCAGGTCTTTCTATACCATGCTCTCAGGTTAGCAAGCCAGGCAAAGAGCCCCAGGATCGTCCTGGGGCTCTTTTTCCTTCAATTTTACCCTGCAAAATTCATTGGAGTAGCTCGTATCTGCCTTGATTTCTCATTATATGTCCCAAGTACTCCAGCTTACGACTCTTCACAATGTTGACCAATGTTGAAAGGGATTATCGCTGTTTTTACTAATAAGCTGACCGCGAACGATCTTCTTAGTAAATCCATTGGCACTCCTGATGAGTGAAACGTTGCACAGCTCTGGTAAAAGGTCGTGTGTTCGTTTCTGTAAATTCTTGATTGCCGAAAGAAAAAAATTATTTATCATGTGTACGTATCGATCAGAGTTTACTGTTACTGCGTGCCCATCCTAAACCTCTAAAAAATAGGGTCCAATGATTCCTAACGAAGAAGTTGCAGACCATACGGTACCTTTTCTGAATTTGGGGATCTTTGGTGTAATTGTCGCGGATTATTCTCAGATCAATAGAGGAGATTTTGTTTGTCTACATACCAACTTAGATGAAAGTGGGATTCATCACTCGTCCAAAGATTATGCAGCAAGTTGTCGTTTTCATTAATACGCTCCAACATTTGTTCACAAAGCCCTAGCCCGGTGGGATAATTTAGAACGCTAGAACTTGGATTTTTTATGGATTATTTTGGAGATATTTATGCAAAATTCTGCTCTTAATAGTATAGCTTAATCCCGATCTTCGAGGACTCACGTGTAATGAGTTTCACACCGTTTCAATAATTCTGTGTGCGAGCAGTTCTGACACCTCTTTTGTGTGATATTGAACCACCAATTTTAAAGTTCCTAACCCATGTCTGAACAGCCTTGTTAGACGGAACTAGAGCGCGGAGTGGCAAATAAAATGCTTGTTGTACACGCACAAAAATTTTCACCATTTTTGTAAAACGCTTTCACAGCAACTGCGCATCATGACGTTACTAAGTGAGGAAGGGCCTATAGTTTAAGAAGAGTGGAATAAGAGAGTAATAGTATAATGTTTGTCACATCAAAAACAAAAAATCTGACAGATTCTCTTGTTATCGGCATGTAACAATAATGATCTATCGTAAGACTAACAACTAGGAGAATAAGTGTAGGTTCTCAACGCCGGTATTTAATAATGATAATATTTGTTTTCCGGCCTTACGATACGATACTAGGACCAACAAGATCGATTCGTGAACTTCGACGTAGTTTCACTGTTAAACATGGTGGTTAAATATGAGGCATTACAATGAATTAGTCAGCAGTTCCCATAGCGTATTAAAAACCTTTTTCTTGACTGAATGACTATGAACAGACCAATAGGATACCAATAAAAAATACTTTGAGCCCAGTAACAGCGAACTTTTTTATGGAAAATATTTCCTTATGTGATTGACATTTTTGTGATATAGAGAGCTATGTGTAAGGCGAAGTTTTATTTTTGAATTTCTAAAATTATCAAACCCTTTTCTCTAGTTAACAATGGAAATGGAGAAGAATAAGCACACTACATCTTATATCAAATATAATATATTTTATATGTAAAGCGAAAACTCAACGGAAAACTTGGGAACAGAGAATGCCGCAGACCAACGCACAGAGACCATTTTTTGAACAACTTAAATTACCATTTCAGTTAAAAAAAAAGAGATTACTATTCCAAACAGAAGAATGCACATTGGAGAGAAATAGGTGAATATAATACAAAACTGTATAAAAAAAGAGGTGCAAATAAAGTTAGGCAATGAAACAATATAAAACAATCACCGCAACAAAAGGCCTCAAACAGGGATATGGTCTATCGCCTACACTTTTTAACAGATACTAGCACAAGAGAATATATATTACTTTTACTACTTTTCGCAAACGATTAGGTCATTTTTGCACAAGACAGGGAGGACTTGGAATATTTGATAAGGAAATTGAAGTAAGAATATGAGCTCTGCGGACTAAAGATAAATATGTGTAAGACCGAATACTTATGTATTGGATCGGAGTATGCAGATTTGAACTTAAGTTTAGAAGGGGAGACTATTATGAGTTGTAAGACTTTTCAGTATTTAGGATCAATGAAGAGCCGAGATAGTACTTGTATGAAAGATATGGAAATGAAAAGAACACGGGGCACGGGGAAAACAAGACACGAAAGCATTCCATAAAGTGATATGGAACAACGCTCTAACCAAAGAAAACAAAAAAGGCTCTTTCAGAGCATAGTAATGAATACTACCCCATATGGAGCGGAAGTATGGCCAATGACAAGATTAATACGAAATAAAATAAAATAACAATTGAACTGAATGCCAGAGTATAGGTGGCCGAAAAGAATATTGGACTAGGACCCACCGGAAAGAAGACGGCGGGGAAGACCTGCTACACGATAGAAAACATACATAGGAAATGCTATGATAGATAGAGACCTCAAAGAAGGAGACTGGAAAAATAGGGTGCTGTGATGGGAAAAAGCCGAAGAAGTAGAAGAAGAAATAATTGAAACGTGTAGAGAACCCGGCTGCGGTATAACGGATATACGTTAAGTGAAATTAAACGATATATCCGATACATGCTCACCGACAGACCTTTTCAAGTCACAATAGACAATTCTAAAAGTTTCCAAATGAAGCTCACCAATGGACTGCCACAGGGATCTGTTTTGGCACCCTTACTGTTCAATTTATATATCGCGGACCTACCTAGGACAACTTCGCAGAAATTTGGCTACGCTGACGATTGGGCCATTGCAGCAAGACATAATGACATGGATATCACAGAAATAATATTAGCGGATGACCTTGCCATTATGGGAGAATACTTTCGCAAATGCCTAATGCAACGAAAACCGAAGTGTGCTGTTTCCATCTGAATAATGCCCAAGCCAACAGAAAACTCTCCATCCACTTCGAAAACAGACTGCTCACTCATAACTCAACACCAAAATATCTTGGAGCGACTCTGGACACAACATTGTGTTTTAAAGAACATCTTCAAAGAACGACAGTAAAGCTGAAAACGAGAAATAATATAGTCCAAAAGCTATGTGGCACTACATGGGGGTCCTCAGCCTCCGTACTCAGATCATCCGCTCTCGGACTTGTATACTCGGTGGCTGAATATGCTTCCCCGGTATGGCCAATAGCAAACACACAAAGATTATTGACACTCAATTAAACCAGACAATGCGAATGATCCCAGGTACAATTAGACCCACACCGAACTATTGGCTTCCCATTCTGAGTCACATTCCACCGCCGAAACTGCGAAGAAGTCATTTTCTTCTCAGAGAATATCGAAAAATTGAGGCTAACCATCAACTACCTATACACCAAGATAAGCTTGATATCGAAATAAACAGACTGCGCTCCAGATATCCTTCATTGCTAAGAGCCAACTCCTTACATCAGGAACATTTCAACCTGACCAAAGATTGGAGAACACAATGGGAGAGCGACCACAGGAAGCACATCAAATGGCCTGTATCGATCAGAAACCGCCAGGCTTTGAACTGACCCGCAATATATGGACAACGCTAAACAGAATAAGAACAAGCAGCGGTAGATGTGGTGACAGCTTATATAGATGGGGAAAAGCCCTTACTCCTGAGTGTGACTGTGGTGCGCAACGACAGACCGTCCGTCACATTGTT